TTAGGACATAGGGAACACGATTACATCCTCGCTTGCATCATCAAAGCACCATTTGAGTGATCCACCATTGAAGCCGAGATCTTCAAGCTTTCATTTCTCAAACCCAGCTAAGGTTATTGCTCTATTCCGTTCATTCAAGTTATTCTTGGGTTGATGTTGTGTTTTGAGTTGAAAACTAAAGGTATCTAACTCGTTCGTGCATGCTCTTCCCCCTTCCCAGTTTTCGATGGAGACCCAACGACTTTTGAGCCGAAGTTTGGCCGACTCCGGCCACCCCACGGTATGTCACATGTACGAATCTCTTCCTTTCTCTCGTATCTTCATTTTAGTATGAGGATCGTAGGGTAGAATGGTGAAATGGCGTCGACTGGAGCTTAGGAGGCTCCGGTCTTCTTTCTCGGTGAAAAAATGGCTGGCTCGCCCAAACCCATAGAGTGCAGGCCATTTGGGCCAAGCAAACTAGGGCCTTCGGCCCGTTGAATTAAAAGCCCAACCTAGTTAGCCTTTAACCCAAAACCTTTTTTAACTTAGGCCTTAGGCCGTGTAGAACTTGGGCCTTAGGCCCGTTAACCCTTTTAACCCATTGAACCCTTGCCCCAACCCTTGGCCCAATGTAAAACCGGCTTAACCCTTGGGCCGTATAACTAGCCCAAGCCCGAGGCCACACATTTAGGCCCAACCCAAACCCTTGTGTCTCGACCCGATTAACCTGACCCGACCCGATTGACTTGACCTGGACCCGTTGACTCGATCTGACCGTTGACTTTGGTCAAAGTTAACCATTGACTCAGTTAACAATGACCGTTGACCGTCAACATTGACTTTTTGTTGACTTTTTCTGGTTTCAGTTGGGACCTTTTCTAGGCTAATTTCGACGTCCTGGATCCGTTTTTAAGTCCGCTTTCCCAAATTCAATCGTTTTAATAGAGTTTTATTAATTAGACCCTTTTTGTGCTTAGGTGCATTTATTGTGACAATTTCCATCTTTGTGTGGCGCTTTGACAGCGAAATATCTGTGAGTGGATCCTTTCTAAAATGTATGTTTTAATATTAGAAATGCATACATGAAAAGCATGATTTAATGGTTACGTTTTATAAGTAAATTATATTTACACTTTATGATTATCAAGCTTTACTGAGAATATTTTGGAATGCCATACTTTATCGAATTTATGTTCTTTATAGTATATATGATGGATGACTATATACTATTTATGAACATGTTTTTAAACTTCTTTGTAGTATATATGATAGATGACTATATGCTATGAAGATGTTTTTGAGATATATTTACGTATATTGGAAATAGTATATTCAATGTTTTTACGCTTATCTAGTGGTCAATGTTCCCCTACGAGCGATGATACTTATATTAGCCTACGGGTCGGAAGATATATTATATTTGGCCTACATGTTAGGTGATGTAGGGGCCTACGGGTCGATTATGATACCACTATTTAGCACACTATATACGATATATGTTTTATGAAAGATTTTATGGCATGTTAGGGTTTTCGGAAAAACCTATTACATAATATACTAATGAATTTCCATAAAACTTTGGGGGGTTAGTACGTTATTGAATAACTATTTTAGTATTTTATATATATATATATATATATATATATATATATCAACTTGGTCCACTCATATTTTGTTTTGCGCCCCCTCAGGATTTAGAATCAAGGTGTACAATCCCGGTGTTAGGGCACTTCCGCATCGACATTTTCAAGTCATGTCGGTGTAGGAACCATTCCTTTGCTCATTCAATTTTATATTATTTCCTTTCTGGTGTCTCAAATTAGTTGTATGCTCTAAACACGTTCCTCATAGCATATTAATTACATTTAAATTTATAAGTCTTATTTATTTCTAGTTCTCATGCATTCTAATATGGTTTCGTCACCTTCGGATGTCGGCCATCACGTGCCTACCCTGGTGTTTGGTGAATATCAGGGTCGGGCATAATGATTGTTAATTAACTAAATGTAGAATTATGACTCATTGTATTGGTGTGTGGAAAATTTTACAATATATATAGCATTATGTTAATCCCTATTTAGGTAGGAATCCTACACTAATCACAATTGGAAATGACATTCCCATATACATATTACAATCACAGTGAAGAATTTCAATTGATTAAGTCTAATCTAACAACATCCCTTCCCCACGCAAATTGGACGAGCTGAATCAGACAAGTTTAGAACAAAGTAGGCATGACGAGGCTGATGAAGAGCTTTAATGAGAAAATCGGCCGTTTGATCAGCAGAGAGAATATAGCAAAAATGATGACTACCAAAAGCAAACTTTCACATACAAAAAGATTATCGAGTTTTTATGTGACGTGTGCGAGCATGATGGACTAGACGAATGGCAATATAAGTGGCACTCAAATTATCACAATGTAATAAAATAATAGTAGTCAATCGAACCCCAAACTCACTAAAAAGGAAGCAAAACTCAAATAGATAAGATGGCCACTAGTGAACACTGAGGGTCCAGACAACTCGCCCAATTAGCATCCGAATAAACAAATAAAGTAGTGGTATGAAAACGCAGATGAATGTCGAAGTCTAAAGTACCTTTAACATACTCGATAATCCTTTTAGCAGCGATCAAGTGAGTAATGCGGGGAGCACTCATGTACTGAGAGATTGTATTACCGCAAAAGAAATAGCAGGATGAGTGAGAGTAAGGTATTGCATAGAGTCAACTAACTCACGAAAGACGGTGGGAGAAGAAAGTAAAAAACCATTCCTAGCAATGATAGCAACTTGGCAGCAAGAGGGGTCGATGCCGATTTACAAGAAACCATGTCAAACTTCTTAAGCAGATCATGAGCATATTTAAGTTAATGAACATGTAGGCCAGTGGAGTCACGAGTAGCCTTTAATCCCTGAAAATAATTGAGGGGCCAAATCCATAATGTCAACTTGATTGCCAAAGAGATCAACAAATTAAGTAACAAGATCTGAAGAGCTACCAGTGACGACAATACCATCCACATAAAGAAGCAAAAATATAGTGCGAGTGAGACACCTAAATATAAAAAGAGAGGAGTCAGCAATACTCTAAGTAAATCCAAGGTACAAGAGGAAATAATGGTGGCGGTTGAACCAATCACGAGGAGCCTGTTTGAGACCATAGAGAGATATGTGAAGGCGAACATGATTAAGACGTGCATGTTAACAAAGCGAGGGGCTGAGCCATGTAGACATTTTGTATTGATGTGTGAATTATGACTCCTTGCATTGATGTATAGAACATATTACAATATATATAGGATTATATTAATCCTTAAAAGCTGAAAAATTAAATCTTGCTTTTTCAGCTAAGCTTGTCTAGAAAATTATCAATGATAATGATAGCTGATGGGTAAAGATTGTAAAAGCGAAACATTTAAGACATAAATCTATTTGGAATATGAACTGCAAGCAAAATCATTTAGCAGCTTGGAAGGGTATTCTAGCAGCAAGACATATTGTGAAGATAGGAATGAGATAGACTGTGGGAAATGGTCAAAACATTGCGTTTTGGTCCCATAATTAGGTTTTTCCTTTCCCTTTATCCAGTATCATTGCCATTCAATCCCATCATCTTATTGACTGGAACCTTAAAGTTAGCAATGTGATGCTGGATAAAATTGGAATGTTGATCTCCTTAACCAACTCTTACCAGTGGATGTTGCTGATAAAATTTTAGCCATTCCTATCCCGATCAGTGATGTTGAAGATAAACTTATTTGGGGCCCTACCTCTAATGGGGAGTTCTCAATTAAATCAGCTCACATAATTCAAATTGGTGATAATCAGTGTCACATGTTTAAGGGACTTCTTAACAGAATTTGGAAACTAAATATTCCTTACAAAGTTAAGTTTTTTGGTTAGTTGTTGGTGAGAAATAAGCTAACCACTAATGTTAAATTAAATAAGTTCAACGATAACAATTTTGCCTTATGTCCCTTATGTAATAATGCCGAGGAAGACCTTGGTCATAGATTTAAATCTTGTCAATTTGCTCAGGAGTTGTGGAAGATTGATAATAAGTTGCCTGCTATTTCCCTTGCTCAAAGTTTAAATGACTGGCTTAATAGCCTTGATTATATAGACAAAGACGATCCATATGATCTTAGTAAGGCTCTTTTTATTTAGTGGCAAATGTGGAATGATAGGAATGATTTTGTGTTTAATCAGATAAAGCCGACCCCAATTCATTAGAAACCATTGAGGTCAACCTTGCTTGGCGGGTTCGAGAAATCTGGGTCAGAACACATTTACAGTTGCAGAGGCTTTGGTTACTAGGGATGCTCTCTTGGTGGCCAGATCAAGGGGTTTAAAGAAGGTCAAGATTGAAGGGGATTCGAAGATTGTCATTGAGGCAATCATGGGAAAATGTAGCATTCATTGGCGTATCCGTGCTATTGTTAAAGATATCGAATGGCTGGTATCTTTTTTTACTCTATTACTTGGAAGCATATTTTAAGGGAAGCTAATTTTGTAGTTTATGCCATCACTTCAAGTGGGCATGGTTTAGATAACTTCCATTTTTGGATTGGCTGTGCGCCTAATGTCTTGTTGTTTGACTCTATGGGCCTTGGGTGCTCCCGGGATTTTCCCTCTCTTAATGTTATTTTGTTTCTCAAAAAAAAAAATCCGAATTAATTAACTCTAACCTAACATTGAAGAATAATCAAATATTTTAAAACAAAACGATCATAATTCATCAGACAAATTGCGAGTGGTGCGAGAGAACAAATGAAGACGTACAATCATCGTTTTATACTTTTTCAAAAAGCCAAGCACAAGATGGCGAAGGCGAGGCGGAAACAACACCCAAAAATCAAAGCATTAAATATCAGACCAAAAAAAAGAAAAAAAAAAAAAAAAAGAAAAAGAAGCGGGAGTGCGGGGACGCGGGAAAAGAGGCGCGTGGAAGGGAAACAGCTTCTCTTGCTTTTACTTATTCTTTACTCGTCGGCTACTCCACCGTCCCTTGCCTGCCTCGCCTTGCCTGCTGCTGACTCTCTCTCTCTCTCTCTCTCTCTCTCTTAATTTTGTATTAAACTTTCCGTCGGATAAACCACGGAGGCCGAAAGAAAACAAACACAAACACTTAAAAAAATATAAAAAAGGCATCGAAATTATTATTTATTTAAAAAAATTAAATTAAAAAAGGAAAGGAAAAGGAGGAAATTTCTGTCTGTGAGAGAGAGAGTTGTAATCGTGTTCCTGTTCTCGTCAACGAACAACTCTTCCGATTTCATCTCCTTCCTCTCTCTCCCCATGCGACTCTCTCTCCTTTCTCTCTCTCTCTAAAATCCGGAAGTGCTCTTCTCTGCTCTCAAGAATTCCAAGGTTCGTTCTTCGGTTTCCGGTTGCTTATTGTTACTGCTTTTCTGAATTTTGAGCTTAATTGCAAGCTTTGCGTCCGGCTAAGCTATTGTTCGTTCGTAATTATTGTGCTCTTTGAAACTTTTTGGAATTTGGAAGTGGAAATTTTGAATTTTGAAGTGAATTTTGGGGGGTTTGGGTTCGATTTTTGTGTTTTTGCTGCTGCCGAGTTGTGTTTTGGAAGCAGATTGTTGCCAATTGGGACTTGGAACTGGAAGTGCTGCCGCCGTTTAAATTAGGGTTCTTCACGTTCCTCCGCTGAGTGCGGCGTTTTCAGTGGACCTGTGCTTCATTTTCTTTGTTTGTTGAGCTTTCATTGTTTTGTAATGGAGTTCGGGGCTTCTTTTCGGAGTTTTTTGTCTTCACTTTTGATTTTACAATTCTGGCAATGTTATTCAGAGGAGGAAAATTGCCGTCAATTGAAGTGCAGACGTAGCGTCTTTAGTAAAGATGACATGGTTCGGGCTATTCTGTTGGGTTTCTTAGGGTTCTTGCTGCAGTGTGTGTGCTTGATTGTAGTTTGAAATTTTGTTCGGAGTCTTTGCGCGTATTATCTACTTTATTCTTTGCTCGTTTGTTCCTAAAGAAAAGCATTTGGATGACTTCAGTTTCTATGTTTAGCTTCTACTTTTTGTGCATTCTTACTAATACGATTGTGACAATATGTTTTGGCACCGAAGTGAGGTCAGTTGAATTCTTTGCTGTAAAGTTTGTGATACGAGACTTTGTGATGAGGCTGTTGCTTTTGTCTTAATCCACTGCAGGATTCCGGAGGGTTTCATTTGAATGCAAATGTTGGCTGTTCAATTGAAAGCATTTTACTGGTTTGCTAAAACGTTGTAAAACAATAGTTAATGCCACATTCTAGCTTCTCGTTGAAGTTTTCCAAAGCAATGTTGACTGTACAATAATGTTTTTGTTCTTCATAGAAATTTGACCGCGAGAAACTGGTATGTTATTCTTGTTACTGTCATTGATTTGTTTTCACAAATTGAAGAATAAGTGAGAAGAAGAGAATCATATTGGATGGGTAATAAGCTCGGAAGAAGGAGACAGGTGATTGATGAGAAATACACAAGGCCTCAGGGGCTTTACCACCACAAAGATGTGGATCATAAGAAACTGAAGAAGCTCATACTTGAGTCCAAGCTTGCTCCTTGCTATCCTGGAGATGAAGAATGCACTTTTGATCATGAAGAATGTCCAATTTGCTTTCTGGTTTGACTTCTACCGTAATCCTTTTTATTGTTCTTGTACTTTCCTTCTTGGTATTCTTTGTCCTCTGCCTTTTGCTTTATTTAATTGAAGAATAGTAGGTGGAGGAAACTACATTACCTTCTATTTACTCTATGGTTTTAACTAAGTTGAAGTTTACTTGAAAATTCAATTTCCCTTCAATTTTTCTGTTTCCTGAACCATACACAACTAAATTGAAATTTTAAAGCAATTTTTTTTTGCTACATTTCCGGTACAGGGTAACTGGGAAGTTATTTTTTAATTTCTTCTTAGACACCATTCTGGGAGGAACTCACAGAATTTGAATATCTGAAAAAAGTTAAATTGAATTTTATTTTGTAATTATTGTTGTTGTGTAAGTCTTCTGACTATCCTATTCCATCCTTTTCTTTTCTTGTTTCAGTATTATCCAAGTCTTAACCGATCAAGATGCTGCATGAAAGGCATCTGTACAGGTTACAATCATGCAATTTTTTACATTTGATATGTCGGCTGTAAATATTTGCATGTGAATTGATTAATCTCCATTTCCTTGCAGAGTGTTTCCTGCAGATGAAAGTTCCTAATTCAACTCGTCCTACGCAGTATCCTTTGTTATTGATGTTATACCTTCAAATTTTGAAGTGCAATTTGAAATTTGTAATATGAAAACTGTCATTTTTCATTTGTTACTTTCAGCTCTTTGTGCTCGTTTTACTTAGCATAATTAGGTGCCCTTTTTGTAAAACCACCAATTATGCTGTGGAGTTCCGTGGTGTGAAAACAAAGGAAGAGAAGGGTCTGGAGCAAATTGTAAGCATAGATCTGTCATAAAAAAATTGATTTTATTTTGAATCTATGGATTCTTGTTCTACTGATTTTCTCCACTGGATGGAACTTGAAAATTATTTACATTTCTGAAAACTCTGCAGGAAGAACAAAGAGTCATAGAAGCAAAAATTAGGATGCGGCAGCAAGAACTTCAGGATGAAGAAGAAAGAATGCAGAAAAGACAAATAAGCTCTCCAAGAAGAAGCATGGCACCAGTGGAAGATGAATACAGCTCAGTAACCGGTATGCTAACAATAAGATTGCGGATTCTATTAATGTACAGGTATTCATTTGTTTACGTAATGACAAAGTTTTCTGGTAGTTCGATCCTCCACTTCTCCAGAAGAAGGAGAGGAAATAGTTCCTTCTCAAGATTCATGTGCTGTGTCAATGTGTACCCAACCGCCACCTCCAAGAGTGTACAGGTGTACATTTTAATTTACTTTAATTTATCTTTTTATTTCTGGTCTGTGTGTTTAACCATGGAACAAATTGGGATTCGAAATATGAGAATGAAACATCTGTTTACTAGTGTTATCTTGCCCTAGTTTGTAGATTAGAAAAATATATGTTTGCATTTAGAATAAAAAGAAAACAAAAGAGGAGGAAATTACTGCAGCATAATAGTCAGAATAGGTTTCCATATCTTCATGGAACTTTAACTAGTTGGATCCTAGTTTGTGTACGAGTGAATAGGTTCTCAGGTTTCCCATATCACAACCATTTATGCATGCACCTTTCTCCATGTTTGCACTTATGATGTGCAATTGTGTGTGGAAAAATTAACATTTTTCACCATGGAATTATCTGGCTTTTCACATCATACATGCCAGATTTTTTTAGATTAAAAGGCTCTTATGAGTGTTTGTTTTACAAGATACATGACAATTTGAATACGACTCAAGCATGATATGGCACAACTTGATTGCCAGCCATGATCCTAATTTCTATTTTAAATTCCGAAACTGCAGGGAGGATGAATTCGATCTGGATCTTGAGGAAATAATGGTCATGGAAGCAGTTTGGCTTTCTATTCAGGTAAAAATTGTAAATTTGTTGAAATCACGAGTCCTGTTTGAAATAAGCTTCGTTACGAACTGTATGGAAACCATGTGTTACACTGTTCAAATTGAAACCAAATGCTTTTTGATGATTCTCTTAACTTATTTATTTACTTTGAAATCTATTATGTGGTCTTTAAGTGCTTCTATGAAGGTAATGAGACTTTTAGTGAGTACTTTTAACTGGAGCTTAGTAAGTAGTGATATACTTGACTGGCACCCAATAGTGAAATGAAGGCAAGAATGCTTACGTGAACAGAGAGTTGTAAATTGCATATCCTTGAGGCTGAAATGCTCAGTTTGTAATATGTATAGCGCTGGAGCTTGTACTTTTGACATGCGCATCAGACATAAATAAACTATTTTGAGTTGAAGCTCCCTCATATCAAACTGTTTGAGCCAAAGATATCTCTATGTAGATAATGGTTGAATTATTTAAGCTTTATATTTAATAATCCTACTTTAATCTTTAGTGTAGAACTTTAGATGAGTGGTTACTAGGAAAGATAAGAAATATGCAGTATTTCTAATACAGATAAAAAGTGTTCAACGGAGAAAATATTGTTGCTGTTCCCAAAATTTGTTGATTGCATCCTGGCTATTGGTTTCAAAATTCTGTAAACATTTATATTCCTAGATGTAAAACTTTTAAAGTGATATAACATAATGAACACAACATTTTCCATCCAGCCATAGGAATCTTGTTTACAGCAATTATCTAAAAAATATGTATATTTTGAACATGAGTACGTCATGTGATGTGCGCACACCACCTCGAGTATTTCAAATGTTTTGGTGTTGTTGTCATTGATGATGCAACCGATAACTGTTTTGATTTGTGATAGTTACAAGCAATTTAGTAGTATTTGAAGTTTATACCTCACTTTATATACTAGATATATGTGTGTGCATTGGTTGTGTTACGTTAAATATAAGTGGATGTAATAAAAGTTGTCATTTAGTCAACAATTGCTAATTTGAGTGACTGGGAGACTATTGAAGTTTTGGCTTTGTTCGATATTAGTTTCTTGGGGTATTTTCTCTTGTATACCTCCTTTGTACCAGGATCACACCTATTTTATTTCGTTTTTCCTTTTTTTTTTTTTAAATATATCTGTTAATCCATTATGTAAATTTTTCGGCCTTCCAACTCTTCTGTATTGCACAACAATTTTGTTTTTCAGGAGAATGGGAGACATAAGTCTCCATCTTACGTAGATGCTGCTCCGTCTGAACAATTTGTCACGAGACAAAACCTTGTCTCACAAGCCATGGCTTCAGTTTCCGGTTCATCTTCACCATCGGGGGGTCTTGCCTGTGCAATAGCTGCCCTTGCGGAACGACAGCAAACGAGTGGAGAATCCTCCACTAGTCCTGGCGGCAATGTGTCGGGGGTTAGTATGGTTCCTGGCAGTAGCAGGTTTTCCAACAGGGTGGACAGAGAACCCGGGAATTATCAAACTGCAGTGACCTCTTCTGAAATGTCAATCAATCACAGGATGGCTTCGACGCAGGATGACAGAGAATGGAATGTTGACACTACACGGACGAGTTATGCAAGTTCCGACACAACAGAAGATGTTGGAAGTACATCTGCCCCACCAACGGGGAGTGAGATTGAGGGCGATCTTCAAAATGCCCCAGGCCCTATTGTTCCCGAGAGTTTTGAGGAGCAGATGATGCTGGCCATGGCCGTTTCACTGGCTGAGGCTAGAGCCGCGGCCAGTGGACCTGGAGTTTCCTGGCAGTAGGCTAGGTCAAGATACTACTGATAGGAAATTCTGAAATAGATATGGTGTGGCCACTGCAGTTTGCTAGCTGAGTCTCGAGCACGGAAACTGCACAAAAATAGAAGAACAAAAATTCACGCAAATAGTCGAAAGGTCAAGGTAGTGATGATTCTCCCTCACTTTCTCTGCCCCTCTCATGTTTCTATATAGATGTGAAAGGAAAACAGATTATTCTAGTGAAATGAAAGGCTTATGGTTTTGCTATTTCTTTATGATTTCTTCTCATTACAGCTCGATTAGCGAGTACTGAGGATCGATTTCATTGTTTTGGCTTGTTTTAAATTGTGTGCCTCGTTGGTACCACGGCGGCGGTGAAATGGAGTTCTTTGCACCCCAACCCCGTGTATTTGAAAAGAAACGGTTGAACTTCCAGTGCATGACTGCGAATTGCAAGACTGATGTGCATAAAACTTAATTTAATTTGTTTCTAAACAAATGGCGATGTTTGGTGTGGTTACATCGGAGGGGGTTAAATCCTAATCATTGTCTTTCCATCCCGCTCCATGTCGGAGGATTCCAAGTTCGGCAGCGAAGTAAGGCCCAAAATTGCTCACAAAAGAAAGTTGTACTTAGGTTTTCGATTGGATGCTTGGGATCAATTTAAAGAGACAAAAAGAAAACCTACATCTGATTGGGAAAAGATGGATTACAAGCCAACTGCCAAGTTTTGTAAACAATGAATTATTGGTGAAAGGAAAGTTATCTTTTAAAAAGTTGGAGTTGATAGGAAGAAATGGAAGCAAATTGTATCTAAGTTGAAGCCAGCAGGAAGAGCATAGTGAATTAGATGTGTGATATCTATATATATGAATCAGCCATTGTGAATTTGATCCGTATTACACTATTAACATTGATGTAAGTTTGATAAGGGTGAGTTTTATATATTAAATTTGGGAGCTGTCTACTTTTTCTTTTTCTTATTTTATGATGGTCGCCTCTTCTTTTTTTCTCGTTATTTGTTGTATAAGTATCACACTCATTGAATTCAAAAATAAGAATCACTCTCGTAGCACTTAAATTTTCCCGTCCACCATGGGAGTTTGAATTCTATATTATTGGTATCACTCAAAATTTCAATTGTTTGATAACTATTTCGTTTTTAGCTTTAGCTTTTTAGTTTTGAGTTTTCATTCTATTAAAAACTGAAAACTACAAATCAAAAGTTGAAAGCTATTTTTTGAGTTTTCGGTTATCAAAAGAAATTCAAACAAAAACTGAAAAAATTGGAACAAAATGAAAATCATATAGACCATCTCCAACCCTTGGGTTAAAACCTAAAATTTTAACCCAAATCATTTTGGTTTTAACCCAGAAACAATTTTTCTCCTCAAACCATTTTGAGTTAAATTTTTAGCCCGAGATTATTAAAGAATAAATTTAGGATATTTTTTTCTTCTTGAAGTAACTTTTAAAAAAAAATTATGTAGACTATTCTAATTTAATTTTATAAACATTTTAACCTAAAAATATTTATATTTCGATAAATACTGAAAAATCACTAAACCGACACTATGAAACTTGTGGAACACTATGAAAGAATATAAACGCATAAAATAATTATTTTTTGAATTACTTTCGCCGTTGAATTTATATTTGGACCGTTAGATCTTCTTGTTTACGGTTGAATTCAATTAATTTATAAATATAAAACTAAAAAAATACACATATATGGTGGGCCAGCCCCCACTAACTCGAGGAAATCCTGGACTAATTTTTGCCCCAGAAATGAAACCCATATTTGCTCCAAGAGTTGGAGCAACTTGGGAATCTAAAATTTGAGTTTTACTCCAAGGGTTATCGTAGGTCTAAAACAATGTTCTAAAAATCAGCCCATCCCGATTTTGGACAAATCGTTTCAAAAAGTCGGTCGGGAGCTAGGCGGTCCTAGGCGGCGCTTAGGTGGGTTAGGCGGTCATAGGCGGCACCTGGGTGGTCCTAGGTAGTTTTTTTTATATTTTATATATTTTTTATTAATTGTGTGCTTTTTTCTTTTTTGGTTTCATGGTGTTATACTTATGGAAATGATGTACCTAATTTGCAAATGATGGATTTACTACAAGTTCATCCAATAGTGAAACGAATTAGAGCACTTTTGAGGGGATACATACAAAGAAAAAAAATAAACTAGATACAACAAGGTTAAATAATTTAGTCTATGTCCAATCCAATGCAAGAATCATAATTCATGAACAAGAAGAATTTAATCTATCATCCAAATCCTCCTCATTATGATACATGCTTACTGTTTTTTAAATATTGAACTTTTTGGGTGTATATAATTTGTGTATTCTTCTATTTCTATTTTTGCATTTTATCATTATTTTATTATCCATACAAGTATAGTTTTTTTAGGTGTAAATTACAAGATATATAATAAATTTACATAAATTCGCCTAGGCCCTCCTCCACCTAGCTGCTTAGGCACTAGGTCCCTACCCACCGCCTAACTAGCGCCGTCGCCTAGTGATTTTTAGAACCTTGGTCCAAAAATACTATATCTTCTACCTTCAACTTAGACACAATTTGCTTCCATTTCTTCCTATTAACTCCAAAAGGTTTCCGAGAGCGAGGGTGAGTGCCAACAGCTAACAGACGTCGAAATGTGAGGTGGAGATGGATTTTATGAGACCGGGCCTCAAAGTAGGTGAAGATATATCATAAACCATTAACTTTCACATGCAGTGTCTGTTTCTATAATTTCACAAAACTCAGCTTACTCTTTTAGTTCCATTTCCATAAGATTCAAACTTTTCAAGCTTTGCAATTTGAGTGAGGACCGCACGATGACCTGCACTCCTCACTCTTTGTTTACCTACATTATTGCACTCCACAAATGCCCCTATATCACTTAGAGTGATAAAAGGGATCAGTACCTAGGTATTGCTAATAATTTGACCTTGTCAAATCTGACTTTGGACCAAAGTTAGGGTTTCACCATAAGTAACTAAGACATTTGAATGTGCGAGGCTCTCGTTGCTCTTTCTTCGTACCCAAGGTTTTGTCTTTGATTCTTGATTCTTCTTTTTAAGTATTAATTTTCTCTGCATTATGTTAGTTTTGCATTTGGATTCATCTCAAAGGTTATGTTGGGGTTGGTCATTATAGAAGTTTATCCAGAGTTCATTGTCACGTCTCTTACAATATTGGATGGAAGAACTGATTGTTTTGTCAATTGCTTGTGCATTATAATTTTTCTATTTCAATAATATTATCACTTTTTTTCTTTTCAAAATATCGATTGTTTGAAAAAAAACAAACATTTGAAATAAATATGAAATCTACCATAAAAATTAATATTTATTAGAAATTTAAGGCGGAAATGAATGTATTTTTTTTCCTTTAACAAATATCTATTTTGTACATTTTAATTTGAATTACGAACTTCGTGTACAAATGCAAGTAATACAAGTATCCACCCTGAATTTATCTTCTCTAGACGAAGCTTTAGGGGCTGCAAATTTATGCATCGACAAGGAAGGCAGCCAAATCCCGTCTACTTTAATATTGAAGTCATCTTGAATTTGAAGTGTGCCTTTAAACATACGAGTGATTGAGAGCCAATTGGTAATGCTCAATGCCAAGATTCGAATAAAAAAAAAAGAGAGAGAAAGCAAATGGATTTCAAATATTTTGTTGCATATAATGATCTCGGATGTTACGTTTTTGTTGCGATTTCAAATGTACTTCGTCTGGTTATTTTTTTAATCCAATGCCTTCTAAATTTTGTAGCAAATTGAGTCTAAAAATATAGTATAATTAAACGCTTACGAATGAGAGTACCAATGGAAACTCTAGGAGGTTTCGGGGTAGGATGAAAAATGTGAGATTCTACTATAAAATCAATTGGCAATATGGTAAGTAACTCAACTTGTTTATAAGCCCGTGTAAGGTCCCTCATTCCATCAATGTAGATTCATTTTCAACACACTCGTTCACTTGTGGTGAATTTTACGCCAAACATGTGGACAACACAAACAGGGTGACATGAAGCACATGTGGGTTACATAGAACACGATCATTGGGTTTCACACGTGAGACAACTACTCTAATACCAAGTTAAACCAACAGGTTTTGATTCTTGTGTAAATTAAACAAAGGAAAACATTGGTGGATTAGGCACATTAGAGTAATGATAATGTGACCCCATTGCATTATTGTTAATTAGTACCAAACACTAAACCATCATAACATATGATCGTATCTTTTTATAGTAATAATAATGTGACCCCATTGCATTATTGTCAATTAGTGCAACACTAAATCATATTAACATGATACTATCTTTTCTTAAACACCATGATATAACTAGGATTAACATGAGACTATCTTTTCTTGAACACCATGATATAACTAGGAAATTATAATTATGAAAGTATGAGTAACTTGGCAATCTAGTGGGGTCATTTACACTAATAGTATCTACACATTACTACACACTCCAGTGCTGTAAAGATTATAAACAAATGAATAATATTAAGCTGCATTGTGTTGAATTTCAATCTAGTCACCATACGAATTTCAAAAAAATAAAATTCAACGAAATACAGGACACTGTAATATGCTATTTAATTCAAATACATAAATGTGATGATAATGCTCACCGCAAATTAATGTGGTGAGCTAATCTATCACGTTTTGAATTTAGTAATTCTTTTCCCAACACTCTCACATACAATGAATTTTAAATGATTTTGCAATAATATAAAATAAAAAAACTACGAGAGCCGGGGTAACAATTGAATAACTTTTGATATCTCTAGAATTTTTGTTTAGAAAATAATTTTTATGTATTATTTTTTTTTTCAAACGATAGATTTTGTTAGATTAATCATTGACGGAATTTGAACTCACACTGTTATATAAAAACTCAACACATTTTCATCACTGTGGTAAAGAACCACTTGCAATTATGCATTATTTTTCACTTCTTATACATTCTTGGTGTTTTTAATCATTGCATTAAACAAAGCTACATAAAATCAATGACAGAATTAATAAAAATGTGCAGAAGAAACTCCACTTTTGGTTTTGGATGTATTGTTTGGCATGAACGATGAGTCGATGACAAGGGAGGTGATTCCAAACTTGTCTATTTATTTGCATGCACAGCCTTTATAAACGCACGTATCGACGTATTGTCAAAATGCACATATATTGAGAAATTTTAAATGCACGCATTGTCGTTAAAGAAACAAGAAGAAAACGTT